CCACGCGCACCTCTGCCAGCTGGGGCGCCCCGGTAAGCGCGGCTCCTCGCGCAGGCGCCAGCGCCGCTCGCCCGGGCGCCGGCACCTCCTCACCGCCCGCTTCCCGCTGCAGGGCCAGCTCCGTGATGGCTCCGGCCAAAACCTGTTGGAAAGCGCGGAAATTCATCACTAACGTCCAACCTTCTCGCTGGAGCTTTCATTCAAGGCAACGTGAACCAAGTCGCCTAACTCCACAGTCGGCGGGAAGCTCCTTGCAGAGAAGCCGAGGGCTCGAGCAAGACTTCAAATCCAGCTCCCTACTGGTTTGGTGCCCAAATTATTTCATGCTTTAGTAAGACCTATTTTTGTAGTTCTTAAAACAAACCGTTTTAATTTCAAGGAATGTTTCTCTTTATTGGGAAAGTACTTTCATACTAAGCATCCTGTTTGCACAGATTTATAAGATTTATGTGTATTTTTAAAACTTTTTTACTGAGGTTTAGCAGCATGCAAATACCAGTGAAGAAACATACAGTGTTAATAGTAAAGCTATTTTGTAAACAAAAGGGATACTAAATAAAGAATTCTAGTATCTTGAGTTTGCTTTTTTTCCCATATTCACTGATAAAACCTTCTTTTAAGGCAGTTGAAATGTTATAATGCTGTTCTCTGCCCTGGCCGTATCAGCAGTGCTCGAGATAAGTGTTGCTCTTGTGCCAAGTCATCCGGCGCGGCCTTTCCTAGGAACTGGGTGGCAGTGCCAGGGTCAGGAGGTTTTGCTGGGAAAAAGCTTCCGTGTGGAGCTCCGCGTCGGGGACGCGCGGCCTCCTCCGAGGTGTCCCCTTCCCCAGGTGACAGCTCGTGGGCTCTTTGCCGTGGATCTAGCAGGGAAGAGCGCGGGGTCTCACACCGACCTGCGCTCCTGTTGGGCAGTTGCTGCTCGTCCTCTTTGTTTTGTTTTGGCAGGGAGACCAAACCCATGATGACAAGACAGGAACCCCAGAGGCTCCTTGTCTCACCCCAAGAGGCAGGGACACCAGGGCCACCTAAGTCCCCTGGCTCTGCAGCACTCCCTGCCTGTCCCCACGGGCGATATGGCCCTTGCTGAACATTAACTACTCCCTTTTTCTCCTGTATGAAAGCCAGGAGGAGGGGATGCTGCAGATCCACACGCAGTGGGTGCACGGGTGAGTGATGGCTCCCGCGTTGTCCTGGGAGCCCAAGCAGGGAAGCTCCTGCTGCCCGAGGGAGCCGGAGGGGGCCCTGGTTTGCGGGGCTGGCCCAGCAGGGCTGGGAACAGCGGGAAAAGGCCCGGCTGCCGCTTGGATAGCGCAGGGAACACAGGG